ACAGCGGGAAGTTGACAATAATGTTTGTCTATTTTAACATAACACATGTGTGGCCTTTTCCATGTCTCACTTCTAACCGAAGGAATATTAAGCTCCCATAAACCGGTGAAAGTATAATGACAGTACTACAGCATATTTGTTATCCCTTTATAATACACAATCATACACACTGCTAATATAATACCTGCATACGTATTGTCTGATATAGTGAAGTTCAGCGGTATCACGAAGAGTATGGCGCGATATGAATATGGATATAATTATGTAAATAAGAAGTTTAACCTCATCTTGCGTAACACCTTTCCACTGATATCTCAATACCGTATTTTACGATTGTGCTCAGTACTGCATATATAACAATAACCTGTACGATAACAGAACACCTGATATAAAGGGGATGCCCGTTAGGCCCACTTTTGGGGTATCTTTTCTTAAGATCCATCCTAGCCTCTATCAGGCTTTTATTTCCACAGACGTGAGAAAATGTACCATTTTTAGGCCCTACTATTGAGGTTCTGCACGTACTATGGGTGGCTGAAGGCTCTTCTTCAGCGCAAGGTTCTTCTGCTCTAATTACCGACAAATCAATGCTATAAATGACAGCTCCGAAACCACAAGCTATAGTCCCACCTCAATCTCACCTCATTTTTCTAAAAGGATAACTATACCGGAACTCTATAACATATGTGATAAAGTGATGCCCAGATGAACCTAATATGTCCGTTTACCCAAACATAATACCAAAAATTATATTGTTACCCGCCTCTGTACATATTCAATCTTAAAAAGAACCCAAAAAAGTAAATTATCAACGTTTAGAAATAAGACATGACTTTACCCACTTTTGCATCATGCAGAATGAAAGAAAATATTATTACCGTAATTTACTTAACAATAGGACTCGACAAATAAATGTAATACAATTTAAACATCTGTCTACCATCTAAATAAACGCAAAAGACGACAATTTATAGCCACAAAAGCAGGTTATTGGTTTCCCAAACCCTAAAATAATAAAGGGCTTTGGCACTTGATTCTTATGATCATAAACCAGAAGGGCTTAGTTTATTAGTTGTTGTGGCTGGATTTAAAATAATTGATTTTTATGACCGTAATTCTAATTATTAATTATTGTCCTATGAAATGAAATTCCCTGACAATGAAATGCAAAAAAAACTACCCACATAACTTAACAATTACTATTTACTAAATTTTACCACAAATAAGAATTGTTCCCTTTTTAAACACATAATTAATTACAAAATGATACCTGTAATAAAACCACGCTGCAATAACTGCTCTCCCCCGGCGGTATACATGACTACTAAATAAAGGACACTTGGTAGGAATGTGCGTCGAAAACGCTGATCTCGAAATATGTTCTAAAACGGCGTTTCCGCGATTAAAACCGATAATCGTAACGTCTAAAAGAAGATACAATTATCGCTAAAATCTACGTACGGGGATCCACACAACAAAGAAAAAGATATCGTCGACAAAAGTAGAACGCAATCGCAATACTTTTAGTCGTTTTTTACAAGATTTATACGATTGGATCAGAGGTACTAAAAAACTCGCTATTTCTTTATCCGGCGTCGTGACCATAGGCAACGGTTCACCAAGTCAAGTCACGCAAAGAATCCAATAACTCGGAAATACAATCCTACAAAACCCTTAGAAGAGAGAGAAATTAAGCTCTTTTAAAACGTCCGTCTGTTTGGTCACCTGATAGGTAACACATAACTACCTCTCGATATACAAATGTATAACGAAAGAAGTTACCTTAAAGGTAACGGTGTATAGCGCAACAGAAGTCGTTTCATACAGAAAATAATTTATCTGCTTCCTCGATATCTTTTACTGCGTTTTCCAAATATAACAAAATAAAAGCTGTCACCTTATAGTTAAACGGGATAAACCAATCAATATACTTGAAGAGTATATAGAAGGGAGTCACCTTATAGATAACTGAATCTTACACTTTTTTTGTCAACTGGACGTGAGAAGGGCAGGAAGAATTCTAACCCCGTTCTTACTTTTTTTTTTTTTTTTTTTTTTTTTTTTTTTTTTTTTTTTTTTTTTTTTTTTTTTTTTTTTTTTTTTTTTTGATTTATTAGTGGAAATCTTAAGTGTTTTACATTTTCTAGGACATATTGTTTTCCTATTTCCCTGCTATAGGAGTTATCCTCCTTTTCAGGGTGGGACCCCGTTCTTACTTTCGAACCCCGTATTTATACTTTAATTTTCCCATTTAGTCAATGCATAAGACAGAGAAAGGTTGAGTAGCGGGCCTACTCAACTTTCACGTAACATAATACACCGAAAAACAGCCCGAACAATATACGGCTTCCGGGCCGCCCTCTGGGTTCGAAGTTGCCTTCCAACAATTTACACTCGATGAACAAAAGACGTGCTAAATAGAAAGTGATTGATATATCCTCGAACAACGCAACAAAGAAAAGAATAAAAAAATATCAGACCCAGGGGCGTCGCGTTTCATTACCATGATAAATATCCCTATGACAACAGTTTGTTCGTAACTGATTTTAGCTAAATTAAGCCATCCATAACTTGACCATTACGCGTTTCCTCACCACATGATTTGGGTTTTTGTTTAGTCGTTACCATTCCAAGCGTCCTAATGGCAACAGTTCCCCATAACTGATTACAGTTAAACTAAAGTTTAATTAAATCATATAACTTGGTAACTCAGGGATTTATAGGTTTGTTGTCATTACCATGACAAACGTTCCCATGGCAACAGTTTCTGCGCGCAACTGATTTTAACTAAACTAAAGTGAAAATGAAATCATCTATAACTAAGCAACTTCTAATTTTCTTACAACGGGATTTGGGAGTTTGTTTATTCGTTACCATGAGAGGAGGGGAGAGCAAAATTTATGTCAGAAGCCACTAACAAAAGAACTTTTAGAGTTAACAAAGAGGGCTTTTAACAAAAAAAAAACCTGTGTTTTGTCACATGCACTATCACACAGTGTGTCTACTTAAGTTGGAACCATGTGAAAAACTTTTTTTTATTGGTTTTGTGAAAAAATTCATGTGATAAAAAGATCTGCATGGTCCAAAACTTAAAACTCAACCATCAGATATCAATTTTTTAAGCCGTATACGAGGTTTGTCAAAAAATATGAATTTACTCTAGAGTAAAGTACCTTTATTTTTTACAATACAGAAGAATGTTATAAAGTAAAGTTATTTTGAAATAAAAGTTATATTTAAATATGCAATTATAACCATTTAGCATTAAAATTCAGATTTGGTGATTATTTAATTTATAATTACAAATAATTTATAATGTAAAACGTAAATAATCACCTAACCTGAATTTTTATGCTAAATGACAATAATTGCATATTTGAATATAACTTTTAATTCTAAATAACTTCTAAAAAATTCTTTTGTATTTTAAAAAGTAAGGTACCTACTTTACTTTTGACCAAAATTCATATTTTTTGACAAACCTCGTATACGGCTGAAAAAAATTATATCTGATGATTGCATTTTGGACTATGCAAAACTTTTTCACAAAACCAATAATAAAAATGTTTTTCATATTATTATAGTTTCAACTTAAATAGACACACTATATAATTCCGAACGGACAGACAATTGAGAGAAGTCATAATAAAAACAAATGTTCTCCTTACTGATATCTTTAATTTGGCATATATCTTACTTCTATTGGTAGGTGGGGTAAAACTACCCATTCTCCTTTGTCCTTCAAAAAATTTTAAAAAACAATCCTGTGAATTTTTATAAAAACATGGAAAACATAAATTTCAAATGTTCATATGTTCATATGTACTGGCTTCAAAAAAATCTTATGTTAAACGACTCCATTTACTTATCTATACTTATTTTGTTTATGCGTGGGTGGAGGGGTCAACCACTCCCGAAATACTGATATGTTTTCATTAGAAATCACCAAAATCACCGAAATCACTTAAAATTTCTCGAAATTTCCGAAATCCTCGTCGAAGATCATAGTCGAAATCTTCACCGAAATCACTTCGAAATCAATTCGTCGCTCAAAAATGTAAATGCAGGAGCTTGTGAATCAAAAGACAAGAGAATAGCCCAAAAAAAGGTCATCGTGTAAAATTAAGTGGTACTTTTAGCAAAATCTCATAAATTTTTTTAGGTAATTTCCGAAATACGGGTACGTTTTGACCTTGGTAATTTCCCCCTCGGTGAGGGTATAATACTAATTACCATTTTTTATAGGTTGTGTGCTATGATATTCCTTTTTACCAATTGAGATGCGTTTTTAAATTACGAGTATCTTAACTATATTCTACTGTCAAGCTCTTTTGTGATAAAAATAAGATGATTTGACTCAATTTACTAATATCCAAAATCGTCTGGTTAAGCCGGTATACAAATGCACTTTTTTGCGCCTGGAAAAAGAAAATTTCTGAAGGAAGAGAAGAATTATATCATTTCTCAATCTCAAGTCTCTTACCACTGAATTTTGTTGTGACAGGATAATATACGAGAATAATTTAATCTTGTTGGAGAGCGAAAAATGCTTGCTAAAGGTGAAGAATTTTAAATCCCTAGTTGGAAACAAATAATAGAATATTTTAATAAAAAAAAATGTACGGTACCTTCTAACATAATCCTATAAATGGTCACAAATAAATTAATGAAATTTGAGATATTTAAACTAATTTATACAACTTTTCTATTAGTAATGGGTCATATAACAATCAAAGATGGCGTCACAGCGGCAGTTTAACCAATAATTTTAAATGGGAACATGCATTTGCTGAGTGATACCTCGTTTGACTGGTATTTCAAAGCCAAGATTGAAAGTCAGTTACCACATAATAGCAATATGTTGAAGGGTTGTGCTTATAAAAAAAAACTATATTAGAAAAGTGTAGTGACGAATTTGACATCTAATGGATATTTTTAAAAATCTTAATATTAATTCGGCATCTAGCAGTTACAATAAATAAAATTAAAATTGAACTCACATTTTAGGAGATTTTGTAGTTGAAATTTCTGGGATCCTGCATAAAACAAACGGCCATTAGATAATATTCATTCTTCTCTAGAAACTGTCAATCAATGAACATTTTCTTTATGAAGCTATCTAATATTTCTGTCTTCTTCAAATTTCTTTATTTACAAGTTTTATTAATACTATTCTAATGGTTTTCGTATTTTTGCATATCTAGCTATTTTTAACTAATAATTATTTAACTATATTTGTAAATGTTTCTTTGTTGTCAGTATCCTTTGACAAAATAATTTAATACCTTGAATGAACTCGAGTAATTGGTGGAGGCCTAAAATAAAAAAAATTATTTATATATAAGTTTTAAGTTTCCACAAAAACATCTATTTGGACTAAATGATTCATTGTGTAATGAAGTCAATTTTTCCTCAATCAGTTTATTTTCATTTTTCATTTTTAATAAATATTAAACGAGATTGAACTGTTGGTCCTAAGTTAACTTACAGATGCGCGAACGCCGATCGAGTATCGATGCGCGGTGGGACTGGCGTTGGTGGGGTCTCTGATAGGCAAAGGGAATAAGCAGTTGAACCAGGCCCGAGATGCAATTAAAATTTTTAGTTCCGAATGACACTTGATTTCCAGTAGTTTAGAATATTAGCCGCCTTCTCAAATCAATTCACCGCCGATAATTTCTTTTCTTTCTCGCGTTAATAAATCTGTAGCTTGTAGAAATAGGAACATTTTAATTCAGTGTTGAGTTAAAACATTTAATTTGATTTCATTAATAAATATTAGAATTTATTTCTCGGCAAATATAATACCGTTTCTTTAAAGGGAATATAATTTGATTTAAATAATAAATGATAGGATTTAGTTCTTTAATATTGTAATACTGGGGATTTAGACGTTTGATCGTTAGTCTGTATTAAGAAATTATTTTTCTTCTTTTTGGTAGGTTAAATCTGGAATGAAATTTGATTTTATTGAGAAATATTTTTGTTTAGTAAGTGCCGCGTTGTAATTAAATTAAGAATATTTATAAACGGAGTTTTCGAGAAAAAGTGTGTCCTCTTTTAATAGTTTGTTTATTGTTTTACCGTATATTTAAATAATCTTAAATAGCATCCTGTCCTGTCTGAACGAGCTCGTGATGACGATCAGTTCACTCTTGGAGTAGGTACTATCCGCGTTATTTTTTTTAGTTAATGTGTAAACCGCAAATTTAAATAATCCTAAATAGTATCCTGTCCCTGTTTGAACGGGCTCGTGATGATAATAGTTTTGTTTTTCTCTTTCACCAATAATTTAAATTACTTTAAATAGTATCCTGTCCCTGTCTGAACGGGCTCGTGATGACGATCAGTTCATTCTTGGATTAGGTGCTGTCCGCAGTTGTTTTCTTTTTCCCTTTGTATTCTTAATTTTTTCGTGCAAATTGCAAATTAAAAAAAATCTTAAATAGCTACATTACCCTGTCTGAGCGGGCTCGTGATAACGATCAGCTCATTCTGGGATAATAGGCTACCCCGGGATAACATTTTTTTCTTTCCGTATATTTACTATAAGTAATTCTTTCGCGTCCCTGTCTCCTCGCACTCTCTATGACCGTTTAGCTAATTTTTCCTTACGGAAATGGGAAATTATGTTTTAGTTTAATTACCGATTTAATAGCCAAGTTATTTATTTTTTTTTGCGACCGAAACATTCATTTTATTTTAATTCAATTTTGACGTCTAATTGAGACCAGTCGGGATTCAATACCGTCCGTTTTGTTTCTTTATTTTTTTTGTTTAGGGTTATATCGACTATCTCCACAACTAGGGTGGGCATTGAAATATATAATTTTTTTTATGTTGTAAATATTTTAAAACAATATATGTGTCAACGTTAACTTGGCGTATTACTGGTTACTAATTCCATACTTTATTTCTCTCTTGTATTTCAGCTAGTGATAAATTCTGTACCAGATCAAGCAACGATTAAAGCCCGTTACTTGTGGCCTACTATTACGTGTGTCTAAGTGACCTTTGACCCTTGAAATTTTTCATCTCCATCTGTAGCTACCCGAGTACTTTCGACGCCGTTTCGAGAGTTTGTGGAATAAACCATAACCAAAAATCTGGCGCTCGAGAACCGCCCGTAACCAGCGTCATTCGTAAGGAACCGTTTTCCCTGTGGCGAGAAAACCTCTTACAATTGTGTTAAAATATTATCAAAATGAGACATCTCTGGCTGTCATGCTTGTATGCAGTCTGTAACACCCAAATTAAATAAACTCAGTAGCTCAATTACTGTGCATATTTATAAAAAAATTCTAAACACGTTAATTTTAGATTATAAAATTACATCTTTCAACGAGAAAATTTCACCCTGCCTTCAACCCCCTTCGAATGATAGTTGCAACCCTCCAAATTTGTAAATAGGAAGTAATGGCTTGTGATATCTCATTTGAAAGGTATTTTCGTTCCCTATTCAAAAATGCTGTGATTTTCAAATTTATTGCAAAAATTACCAATAAAAAATAAAATTGATTTAATCGACGAAATTCGCTATAATACCCTAAACAATTAATAACTTAAAGAGTTTCGTTCTTGGTAATGAGAAAGTAAGCAAAAACAATTTCAATGGCTTTTTCGACAGTATTAACAAAAAAAGTCAAAAAGAATATTAATATTCTTCATAGTTGCCAGTCTTAATATCGTTTAAAACGCCTTAGCAACTTGCATCGTGACTGTAACCGCATGACATTAATTGCTGTGTTATACGTGTCATTTGGATTTATTAACTACATACTGAAACATCGTTTATTTAACAGAAATGCATAAAATAAAGTAACGATTGTTTTACTTAAAAATAGTTTATTTATTAAAAACAGTTTATTTATAATTTATTTATAATGTACTAATTAATTTATTTAAAATTAGGCACTACTATAATTCACAATACTAATTTAGTTTTTAAAATTTGTCTTCACTATCCAACTCGCGCTATTTATATAAGGCCAGATCTGTACTAGTACTTTCTCGGCGAGCTAGACCGTCCGGGAACTCCTTCTCTATGACTCAACTGCCGCACAGCGATCTCTCCGGTAGCTTCTCGAAGTAGTGCGTTTATCTCTATAGGGCCAGCGCTAGACTTCATTACGAGGGTAAGGCAGTATACAATTATTATGAGTGGATAGAGGATGGCAGGAAATAAAAAAAATAATTTATCCTCCTAACCCTTCTACCATTCATCTCCCACACCTTTATCTACTTCACATCTAAACGGGAAATAAAAACTACCTAACTACCCCTCATTCAACTCCCCTGGAAAGCGTTATATAGAACTTTTAATATTTGAGAAATATTCCCGGAGGGCCACGACTTAAAGCAAAAAAATGTACCACCTCCTTTCTATAAGAAATTAAAAAAAGCGGTTTTTTTTTTTAGAAATTAGACCCATAAAAAGGCACACCCTTGAATCCTATGGAGTTTTACCCCCCCCCCCCCCCCCCCCACTTACCACCGCCACTGCACAGTTCTATTTCGGGAGTTCCCGCAATTTCTACTTTTGAATTTTGTATATTTATATTTATGGATGAAAAGTTAACGCTCAAATTAAATTTCAATACTCCCCCACCCCCACAAAATTTTGACTAATATTTTTTATAAGTAATGTTGACTGAAATGCTAATAAATATTGGTTGAACGTTCTTTAGAAGGGCCTATTTATGTTTCTTCGAAGGACAAGTCACTAGCCGCCCCCCTCGAAATTGTGTTGGTTGCGTAGATGATTGAGAAATAAGAAAAAAACATGTAATCGACCTCCTCCCCTCATTTTTTATAGGGCCTGTTTTTAAGTCAATAACGATTATTTTTGGTATATTCTATGACGGTTTACCAGCTAAGGTCAGATATAGTAAAACGCCGGGGATTACCCCTTTCTTTTTTTGGAGTCCCGAAGAGTAACTCCAAAATAAAAATGTTCAATTTATATTGTGCGTATGATGAATGGGACCAAAGACCGAGTCGATCCAGATACAATTTGGGTTTTACTCCTCACCCCTCCAAAATCGCCAATAGTAGATTGATATCTATAGGGAGATTTAAAATTTCGGACAAAAAATGAAAATTGTCATTTCTTAAAATTCATTCATTCGTTTTATGTCAGATATATTGAATTTCTTTGTAGATATCAAATTTTTCTGGCACCATTTTAATAAGCACAAAACTGCGCCACTTTTGTCAAATTCAACCATTTTTCTATCTGTTACCGTTTAAGAAATAGCAATTCTGTCCCTGACTCACGAGCTAATAGGTACCTATCTAATTTAGAGGATAGACAATGGGCCTAGTGAGGCCTAAGTGCCATGAGTTAATCCACCCTCGACACGTTACAGATACAGATACGGTCCCTATAAAATAGTAATGACCCCGTATATACTTATAAGAGAAAATAAGGCCCTTAATGCAAGGAGAGGTTATTCAGAGAAGGCACATTGCTACAGGAAAGGTTCATACCTAATGTTAAAAAATTTAGACTTTAATGATTTGATATCGAATCGACTACTCTAAAGCTATCGAGTTATTTGATCGAGTTTATTGTCGAATTTCGTTTAACGGAATTGCAATTATGGAGTTTGATATCAAATACGAGTCGAAGATTTCCGAAGTCAAAACAGATAGAGACTATAAAATCGCTTTTCATAATTCGATCGAATTATGAATCGTATCGAGATCGAGTTACTCGACACAGAACGGAATCCCACCCTGTATTGATTTAGAATATTTTTAATGGCAATTAGATGAAGTGGTAGAAACGTCAATCAAGACAACTGTCATCAAATGCTCCACCGCTGATACATCTTCAACAAAGTATTTTGATATTCTAAAAGGCAAGAATGAACAATAAATTCGTAATTTTGCCATACCCAAATGTGTACCAAAATAGTGTTCTCTTCTACCAAGTTTACGTTTGATTATTTATTCGCTCAGTGCGAAGTCATGGTAGGGGAAGCAAAAGCGATACTAGCGCTAGCTGCGGATAATTTGTGCATTTCAGGGCGATATTTTGTAATTTTAGCATATCAAATACATGTATAAATTTTACTTTCTTTTTTTGAAAAGAGTAGGTAAAAACAATGCAATAAGTAAGCGGAGTTGCTGTGTTGAAAATTGTAAAAATACTAGCAAAAAAAAAACAGTGTTTATTATAAAAATATTTAGTAGCAAATTAAAAATTAAATCAAAAACATGGGTATGTGTACAATAAGAAGAAAACCTACCTTTATTTTTGTAATAATAACAGTAATACTGGAAATAGTAGACATCAGAAACTTGAAAGGTT